AGAGCAGGAGGATGATTTCCCGTACTAACAAAAGCCAGCGCAGTTAAGATTGACGCGCAGGTGTAAACACAACCATCACCTTTATCCGAAAACCAAGGGTGTTTGCTTATCTGGAAACGAATTCTGTGTCAGAGACAGCCCAGACCCGGCGATCCCACATCCCCTCCTCGCCTTGCCCAAGGACACCGGGCCGTGCCGCCGCTTTTCAGCCCAAATACAGAAATCCACCACGTAAACAGGTCTCGCGTTTACAGTAAGGAGTAAGCGTAGGACTGGCACTTCGCAACTCGCCTGGAAGAGCCTTTCGACCCCAAACACAGCTTTGCAAGACTCGCCCTGGACTGTGGGAATGTAAACGCTGAGGCGGTGGCAGGACAAGGGTAGCCAAGGGCAGGCAGGTCCGTGGGCTCCCAACACCCCCCTCGAAACGCCCGAGCCGTGCAGCCGCTTCGACAGGCAGCTCCCCACTCCCTACACCGCTCCTCCGAGAAAGCCTTATTAATGAGCTTGCAAACGAGCACCCAACTGGGAAATGTCACAAACAAGAGCGGCTAATGCCCCAGAAAATCAAATAACTGAACACTTGGCTGATTGTGGTGCTTTTCATATTTACTAAAAGGGAAAAAAAAAAACCCAACCCACCCCACTTTAAATCAAAGTTTCTGAAAGGGTCAACACCTTGCTGAAGAAAACAACTCGTTTCTCCGTTTTTAGAAATCTCCAGATGATAAATTACGCTGCTGTTAATCACTTCACTGCGCACTACACAATTAAGAGTTGTAGGCGACGGAAATACAGGGATTACTGGAGATGCGGCAGCCTGCGTACGGGGCTGGTTTTTAGCCTAACGGGGGGCAAAACACCCTCCCGTTGTAACCGCGGCGGCTGGCGTGGACCCCACCGGTGCCTGTGTTCAAAGTCCACGTGCAGACGCTGTAGAAGGAATGTACAACTACTTGTAACTTCAGGAAGGAAAAGCAACGCAGAGAGAATGCCAAGGCTTGGACGCTTCCCCTTCCAGTGCCACTAACGAGATGAGGAAAGGTACCACCAAGGCGGAGCTTCAGTGTCTCCGAGACTGCCTGGTTCCAGTCGATTCCTTAATGATATTTTAATGCATTGTGTTGCTCCATTTCCTTTCTGGAATTACACTCCACGCACTGGTCTCCCAGCCCTCGCTCCCTCTGCGGCCCCAGGCAGAGCCGGGGGATATTTTCCAGCCCCCGCCGTGCTCTGCTTGTCCCCCTCCCAGAGTGTCGCCTGCTTCCTCCTGCGAACGCTTCGAGCTCTGCACCCTTTTTTGGCTGAGGGGAACGTTCCAAAAAAATGCACGTTTTGGGCAAGGCCTCCAAAGGAGGTGAAGTACAAACGCTCCAACCGTCGGTGCCACTTACATCCTCATTTACCCCAGGACATCCGACACACCGAGCTCTAAGAAGGGAAAAGGTGTCCCCTTCGACGGGAGAAGGAAGGAACACCGGGGGGAGAAGCGCCTCCCTCCTCTCTGAGGGAAAACTGCCGGCACATGCTTCTCGGGGAACGGCTGGACTGCGTGGGAGAGGAGCCTCGGAACACGCCTGGGATCGGGTCAAGGTCGCTCACCCGGGAAAGGCACCACCTGCACACAGTCCAGGGTCTGTTCCCTTCACCAGGTTGCGTTCCGCATAGTTTCCCGTGCTGACAAGTGCCTCATCCCTCCCCTTCCCGCTTGGCAAACTGCACAGGCTTTCTTGTCTTCTGCTCGGCGTTCCTTTTGAAAATAAACCCATATCTTTGGGGTGGCATTTCAGAAAAACTCCCTCCACACCCTGAAATTGCCCCTGCCATGGGCAGGGACACCTTCCACTAGACCAGGTTGCTCCAAGCCTCATCCAGCCTGGCCTTGCACACTTCCAGGGA